TAGTTTCTAGGTTCAGTTCCAAGGTTTGGAGGGACATTGGGCACACTTTGGCCCTTATAAAAGAGTTTACTCCCCAAGGTGTTCTTGGGCGGTAAACTCTCAGATCTTAGTGTTTTCCTATGATTTCTAGTGCATTAAGCATATAAGAAGCTTTAAAACAACACTAGATAGAAGTACTCACTTTCCGGAACGAAAGTCCGAAGATCCTTGAGAGAGAATTCGGCTTTTGTCTAGATGGAAATGTAACTAATGAATAAATATGGTTCAGAATCCTATATATAGTCCTGGGATTTTTGGCAGGAAATATTTTTATTCATCCAATGAACTCTAATATCATAGGGCTTTGGAATAACAATGTTGCACAAAACCCTAGTGCAATCACTCTCCTGATATCTCCTTAAGTGTAAATCCTGAAATACTCAAACTTATACCTAAATGTCTGGAAATTCTCTGTAATTGTTCTAACTTCTATTGATTTGATATGGTTTGTATAGAATGTAAATTTCGGGTTGTCACATCCTTGAAGGTATTTCTTGGCTGATGTCATTGAGAGAGACAAGAAGAGTGTGAATATTGATACCTCCTTCATTTGCTAATTGAGCCGCTCCAGACAACTTTGCTACAAACTCATTTGAGATATGTTCAGGAAAGAGTAGTTCCATAAAAGTTGAAGAGACAACGGAAGCGTCATTAGGGAATAATTCTTTCTCTATTAAAATATGAGGTGTAGTTTCAGCATCTGGAGAATCAATTTGGACTGAAGATTTAGGACTATCATGTTGCATAGACGACTCCCCTTGAGGTGTAGCAGCGGACTCCCCCTCAGGTGTAGCAGCGGACTCCTCCTCAGGTGAAGCAGAAGGCTCCCCCTTAGGTGTAGCAGAAGGCTCCCCTTCAGATGAAACCGGAGACTTCTCTGTGAATGAAGAAGGGGATTTAGATGGAGATCTGTAAACAACTTCTTCGTCTTCGTCTTCAGAAATCTTCTTCAAACTAGAAACAGATCTAGATGAGCCACTCGAAGACACATTTATTGATTTGAATAGGGATGTGTAATCAAACAGCCAATCCGGACCTACTCTAGCATCCGTCTCGTTTTCTTCCAACCAACGCACGTCATACGATTCCACAATTTGCTTTGTCTTCTTGTTGTAAACTCTATAGGCCATGCGAGCAGCATACCCTACAAAGTAACGATCATCGGCTTTTGCATTGAACTTCGGGTTGGCATCTAAGTGAAGAAGGGTGCAAGGATAGCCAAATACACGGAAGTGACTGACTGATGGCTTGTGACCATAGAAAATTTTATACGGGGTTTTCATCTGAGCTTTGTTGATTAAAACGCGATTCTGAACGTAACAGGCAATGTTTATCGTCTCGGCCCAAAAGAAAACTGGTAGTTTTGAATTACACAACATTGTTCTTGCGGCGTCTTTTAACGTTCTGTTCCTTCTTTCAGCAACACCATTTTGTTGGGGTGTGTGAGCAGAACTGAATTGACGCAGTATACCCTTTTCTGCGCAAAAATGATCAAGAGCAAAATTCTTAAACTCTGTTCCATTGTCGGTACGAAGCGCCTTCACCCGATTGTTAGTTTGGTTCTCAACTAATACAATGAACTTCTTGATCAAATCAGCAACTCCAGCTTTGTTGGATAGAAAGAAAACCCACGTAAACCGAGAGAAATCATCAATCACAACCAGACAATAAGAACTTCTATTAATGCTGAGGACGTTTACTGGACGAAACAAATCCATATGTAGCAATTGAAGCACCTAACTAATTGAGTTGACATGTTTTGGCAGGTGTGGCTTTCTATGATGCTTTCCTTGTGCACATGACGCACATTTTTCAAACATGATGAAGTCCTTGACAGGCAATCCATGGACCATCTCATTCTTCGCAAGACGATTCAAGTTCTTTGCATTAGCATGACCTAATCTTCTGTGCCACAGCATTGCAGTTTGTTCGGAGATCTTGGAGAAAAGACACGTAACCTGTTCTGGAAGATTGCTATTCATATCAATGATATAGGAATTCCCACCCCTTTTAGATTTTACAAGAATCCACTCTTCTGGGATGACAAAGCCTGGCTAGAGAATCATGCATTCCTTGTCAGTGAAATGCGTAGAATAGCCCTTGTCACAGATCTGAGAAACACTTAACAAACTATGCTTCAACTCGGGAGCAAAATTAACATTCTCGAAAGTTAAAACCCCATTTGAGACAGTTCCTCTTTGAGTGATTTTACCACCTTCTCCACCCGCAAAAGAGATATATCCCCCATTAAATGATTGAATGTTGTGCAGTTGGGCGATATCTCCCGTTATATGCTGGGAATAGCCGTTGTCGACGAACCAGGGTCTGACGACATTTCCCCGCAACTGTCCCTGCAAAATGTGCGGGTTTAATTAGATTTGGGAACCCAGGTCATTACCTTCTTAGGTGATCTCGATGCCTTTTCAGATTTATAACATTCAGATTTCTCAGAGGACACAAATGATAAATTGGGAGCAAGTTTGGGCAGCCATTGATAATTAGGTTTTCTAAAAATCCCGGTTGATTTAGAAATGGAATATTTATTAGTCTGCCTAAAGCCTGTGAGTTTTCTACCAGAGTTGGTTGAAGACCCACTGTGGCTTCTTGACGAATCTGACCTTGGCTTGGCCGTGCTTGGTTTTGGCAAACTGCTTGTGACTTGGTGATGAAAAACCTTTTTATGTTTTTGAAAAACAGCCAGTTTTCTACTCCGTTCATTTGCCCAATCATCATTTCGAGAGCGATTTCTAGAGGACTTTCTATTTAAAGACCTTCCTCTGAATTTGTTCTCTCCTCTTGGAAGTTCGAAATGTACAAACATACGATTTTGACAATTTCTAGCTATATGACCACCAACACCACAATTAAAACAAATCTGTTTGTTTCTGTTATAACTTGTGCTACATTGATCAGATTTATTTTCCATACTATCACCCCTACTTCTCTCATAAGAACATGAACATGAATTAGGTTGTGAGGCAAGTGAGGGTACATTAGATGGAAAAGTTTGTGACGTTGATGGTTTCTCAAAATTATTATCACACACATCCAAATTGTCAACCAAATTGTTCAAACCAAACTTTTTCAAACCATTCAAAACAGTATCAGAAGTAATAGAAACACCACCACAAAAAACATTGTCTTTTGAAACATCAGAAAACATATTGTCTTTATTTAAAACTAAAACTTCAGGTTTAGACTCGATTTTATTTTCAGAAACATATCCTTTAACTTCGTGCTTTGACTGATTCAAGGATTGATCTGCAGGAGAAGTAGAAATGTTAGTACTTTCAACATTAATAAATCCTCCCGAAATAAAACCAGATGGCTTGCCATAAACCATAAATGATTCATTGGCAATCTCTTCTTTGGATAGAGGCTTGTGCAGATATGAATGATTGAAAGGAGGGGGCACATGGTTATACCCTATACCTTTTGATTGATTCTTCTTAAATTGCATACTGTGGTCTATCATATTTGCGACTACCTCACTTGAAAAATCATATTTTCTAACATCAAGCTTGGCTATTTTAAATTTCCCTTTCAAAGATTCAATTTCATCCACTAGTTCAGCGTTCTGTTTCACTACATAATCATAATTCTCACATTTATTACTGTAGTCTTCCTGAAGTCTCCTAAAGTCCTTAATTTTCTATTCCAATTGAGCTTTGAGTGGTTTTTGACCTTTTCTAAGTTGGTACGCTTTATATCTAAGGTCTTCTACGTCCCTTATTAATTTGTCATTAAGTTCACGAAGAATCTTAAGATTTTCTACTTCATTGCCTAATGTCTCAATTTTCTCATGCAAAGTTTTAACATAATCAATACATGCATGAGAGCATGATGGAAGACTTACCTCGGTTGAATTAGGTTCATGAGAAGAGGATACCATCAATGCAAACTGCAGCTTCATCATCTTATCTTCAGGTGCCACAATCTCTGTCGGTGCATCATCACAAACTTGTGCCAGGTGGGCAGTTTCACGTCCGGACAGGTTCAGGGCTTGCATCTGATCCTCCCAATAAAATGACTGAGCGACCATAGCCTTCTCGTTGTTAATTTGATTACCACTATGATTGTTTCCAACTGAAACCATTGTCCTATCATTATTTTGTCTTTTGTCTGGATGTGGACAATCACGAGCAAAATGCCCTGACTCATGGCAGTTGAAACATCGTAGCTTTCCCTTGCTGAACCCAACCTTCTTGTCAGCACTCATTTCCCAGTTATTCTTTCTAGTCTTTTTGGCAAATTGTTTTGCCCTAAAGACTGCCATGGCAATTTGCCATGTAATATCCATCTCCTCAATGTCTTCAGGGTGAATCTGATCAAGATCGGAAAATGACAATTGAGGTGGAAGATCCCCGGCTACAAGCGCATTGTAGCAATTAACAAGCCCCGAAGCAAGTGCAAGATTCTCATCGCCCTCCTTTCCCTTTGAAGAAGAAAATCTGATTGAGGATGAAGCAGCGTGAGCAGCCATAAATGATTGATTCTGCGAGAGGGGCATGGATGAAACAGAGGAAGCCGATGTAGTTTGAAAAGTCTGAATCTGAGCTTGCGAAGGGAGCTGATTAAAAGATGAACCTGCAGATGGAAGAGAAACAGAAAAGGATGAAAGAGCATTGTCATAGGAGATGCCAAGATTCGTAGCTGAATATGAGTTCACATGGTTAATTTCCCGCTGCCTGTCATCAGTATCACACGCCTTGATGACTGCCATCACTTCAGCGAGAGAGAGGCAGATGAGATCCTTAGTTTTCTTAATGACAACTACATCCATGTCCCAAGATTTTGGGAGAGCATTCAGCAGCTTCTTGTTTCCTTCTGACTTTGTATAGAAAATCCCAGCCACAGTCATTTCTATATTGAGAGTTGTGAACCGCTGCAGCTGTGTTTCAAGGGTCTCTCCAAGAACATAATTAAACATATTAAAATGTTGTCGCAACAT